CTCTCTTTCTTTCCTATTGTAAGATGTAATTTATCTTGAAAATCAATAAAACTCTTATAACTTTCTTCTGTAAATGTAATTCCTCTTAATACTGCACCCATACAAATTGGTCTAACTTTTTCTACATCTTTACCAACATGAATTTGAATTCCACTCTATTGATTATTAGTTTCTTAATTCTATTTTTCTTTTGTTTTATGTAATATTTATCAAACTGATTTCACTGTATATTTTGGAAATTCTTTCATTTTTAAAAATGTTTTTAAACAAATGGCAATTCCTTCTACACATAATAAATCATATCTATTTGCTCCAACTTCAATTTTATATATTGTTTTCCCATCTTCTTCAACAACATCATCAAGTTCAATTCCATATTGGAAACATACTTCATCAAATTCTTTTTCGGCTATTCTGTTAATTATGTTATTTGTTATATCAAAAAAATTAAAGTATTTGTTATTAACAAACTAAATTCTTTTCCAATTAATTTGAAAAGATATTTGCTGTCACAACTGATTGTTGGCATTTGATGATTAATGTATTTAAGTTCATTCTTATTTTTCTTTTTTCTCTCTTTTCCTTTTTTAAAAAAAATAGGGTTTTTTCTTTTTGTTTTTTTTAAATGAATTAAAATTCAATTGTGTGGATTGTAATAATCATAACGTGTTTTTTTTTAAAACATTAATTCTTTAAAAAATGTTTTATATTCTTTTTTGTTTCCTTTTTTGATGTTCAGTGAAAAAACAAAGATATTATGTAATTAAACAAAGAAGAATTCATTGCTACATTTCAGAGTGATTTATTTAATAACTTTTAAATTATTCTTATGACAAATTATACTACTTTTAGTTATACTAAAATAAACTTTAGAACCTGATTATAATATATGAAAAAAGTTAAAATACTTTTTTTAATAAAAACTTCATTTTAATCAACAACTTTCTAAACTCTCTTTTTGTATAATTTGTTGTTTTCTTCAATCGCGTTTTCCAAAAAAAATAATGTGATTAATTAGTTTTAACAATGATATTAATTTAAATTGATTTTAATTCTCTAGATGTTGTTGGAATTCTTTTGTTTCTGGTTATCTAAATTTAAAATTAATAATCAAGATATTTGTTTAAAATAATTGTAAAGAAATTTTTAATATTCTGAAATTATTATCATTAATAAAAATTTTAAGTTAAATCAACATTTAATAAAATTTTTGTATAAGAATCTAAATTTACTGAACAAAATATTTTTAGAGTCTTCTAACTGAAGGTATTACATCAAGAACATCAACAAATAAATTTAAACGAGTTTTGATAAACTTTAAGAAGTACAAATAAAATATGATAATAAAGTCATGGATATTTTTGATGTTATATAATTATGTAATGAACTAAGTTCATTTATAAATCCAAATCACAATAAATATAATGTACATTTTGTTATTGATGAAAAATAGACCTGTCTTTTTTTACAGATACAATAAAATGAATGAAATAAGATAATATAATTCTTTTTATTATATTAAACTATAAAACAAAACTTTAAAAGAATACAGATAAAAAATATTTTTGAAATATTTTATTTTAAACACTAACTTGTCTTCAGAAAATAGAAAAGAATCAAGCTTCACAATAAATTCATTTTATATATAATAGAAAAAAATATATTTTTTTAATGACAATTCTTATTTCAACATGAGGTATTTAATAGAAATATTATTTCAAATAGATGAAATAAAAATAACCTCAAATAAATTGTAATTTCTTAAAAATAAGTTGAGAACTTAAAAGTTATTTAACATTTAAATGGAGAGAATACATATCACTATTATAAGTGATATTAGTTGTCCTTGGTGTTATGTAGGACGTAAAAGGATGTTAAATGCAATTTCAACAATAAAAAATAAGGAAATCAGTTATGAGTATCATCCATACATTATTGATATGAAGACAAAGAAAGATGGAGAAGAGTATATGGCATATAATGTTCGTAGATGGGGTGGTGATGGATGGACGTATTCAATGATCAGAGATTCTAAAGCAGATGGATGTAATTTTGCACAATGGAAATATTGGCCTTATTCTCTTCATTGCCATAGACTAATGATTTATGCCAATACCATAGGAAAAGGGAATGAATTAATGGGAATTTACTTCCAAATGAATTACGAAGAAGGTAAAAATTTAAGTATTCAAAGTGGGTTAATGGAAGCTGCTGAACGGTGTGGGTTAGATTTGACCATCGCAAAAAGAATAATTACTAGTGATGAAAATAAAGATATTGTAATGAGAGAATTACACAATTGGCATTCAATGGGAATTAGTGGTGTTCCATTCTTTATAATTGAATTTGGTAATGGTAAACAAGTGACATTATCAGGGGCTGTTTCATCTAGTAAATGGCTTTCTGTGATTCAAAAATATTCATCTAATTGACAAAAGAAATAAAAAGTAAAAATTATTTGGTTATTGTCATTATAATTAATTAAATGTATAAGGACTGAATCATTATTTGGTTCTTTTGTAAATAAGTTTAGTTTTGTCATTTAATCTTTATCATTACTTTTTGGAGTTTCGATAGATTATCAGTACCTTTTTACATTATTTCATTGATGATTCTTATTTGTAAAATCCTTTTTAGTCCCACAATTTGAGTGTTTTGAGTGGAAGTTGCAAATAATCAAATTATTTATTTTGTATTATATCACACAATTATTTTCTATTTTTAGATAATAAAAGAAATCACAAGAACTTAAAAAGAAAAAACTTAAAATTTAAAAGAGGAAAAGAAATGTGTGATTGTTTGGTTCTTTGTTATTTTTAAATTTAAAAATTTAAAGGAAAAAAGTCACCAAAAAGAAAACACATTTATATCCATAGATAACGATTCGTCATCTATCGATTCAGATTATTCTCAATCATCAGAACTCGGTGAAGAATATTATGATTATAATATTAAAACAGAATATACTCCATTAGAACAATTCGTAATGAAATTCTCATTACAAGAAACATTATCTGGAAAAGTAGATGAAAGAGATGTAGTTTATTCAAAGAGAGAGATTGATGTAATGATTAATTTTGTTGATTTTATTATGACTGATGCAAGAGACATTTTACCTATTTTATTTGAGGATCAAGACAAACAAGAAATTTTAGCTTCTGCAGCATTAGACTTACAATATTATATTCATAAAGGAGTTTGGTTTTTAATGAATTTTGTAAGAGAAGAATTTTCTAATGCACAAAGTGAAGGAGAACTATTTTTGGATGATTCAGTTGCTTCCATTGTCTCAAAGTGTTTCTTTTTAAAAGTAGGAAAAACATTTATTAAGAGATATTTCTCAAAATATTTCAGTCAATTATTAGCTGAAAAGTTAGATTTTGAAATTGATGATTATAAAATTACAGACGAAAAGATTATCGAAAGAAATGCTCAAAATTTGATTAGAAAAACAAATGAACTTCTTCAAATTATTTATTCAACAATGGATCAATTACCTCATGGTGTGAAAATTATTGCTAAAATGCATTCAGAATTAATTAAAGAATATTTCCCACAATTATCACAATATTCTAGACTCAATTTAACTGCTATTTATATTGTTAATTCATTCTACATTCAAGCATTAATGAACCCAGAAAAATATGGTCTTTGTTCTAATGAACAAATAACTTTAAAAAATAAAAGAAATTTGGCTTTATTATCTAAAGTACTTCAAACACTTATTATTGGTAATGGGTACCAAGGAAAAGGGGCTGAATATATGAAAAAAGTAGATGTTATTCTTAAGAGTCACACTCAACCATTCCATGATAAAGTGGTCTCTCTCATTATTTCTTCACAAGGTCTTCCATATACAATATTATTAGATGATAACCTTAACATTTCTAACGAAGCTATTTCTGTGTTACATATGGAATTATGTCATAAAAGTGCTGAAATTATTAGAATGTTTCCAACTGATATTTCAGAACAATTCTGTAGATTTATGGTTGCTATTGGAGAACATAAAGATAAGCTTGACTTCTTATTTGATTTTACTCTAGACCAACAAAGGTTGATTAAAAACTTCTTAGAAGAAAAAGGATTAGAGGGTGTTTATATTGCAAAAATAGATATCAATGAACATGAAGGAGGAGATAAAAAGAAAAAAAAGAAAGAACAAACAATCAATGGATTCATTATTGTTTCATTACATAACATTTGGTTCTTAAATTCTGTTGGAGAGATTGAAGCTTCGTTCCATTGTTTATCCCTTATTAAAGTTAAAATTGAAGATGATATTATTACTTTTGAAAATAATAAAGGAGATAAAATTGAACGACTTACTGGTACTACAACTAGAAATCATGAAATTGTTATTTCTATGATCCGTTCATTTAAATCAAGTTTCCCTGAGGAAAAATTATTGTTTGAAATTGAAGCTCCACAAAACCAAATGAATTTGTTTAACAATATTTATTCAATGAGAACATTTACTAAATGTGGTGGGTTCACTGGTGTTTATGAAGCACAATGTACTTTTAGAGGATTTAATTGTAATCAATCTGTCAGATGGGCAATTGAAAATGCTAAAGAGCATGACAAAGAAAGTCATCACATGAAAGTATCACGCTTTTATAATGGTGATTTGAATTCAAAAGAAGATAATTTGACTGCAATCGATTTGATTCCAATTTTCTTTACACTGCAATCAAATAATTATTTCACCAAAGTAACAGTAGAAAATATGAATTTAATAAAATGTTTTGATGGATTAAAAGAATATCTAAGAACTAATAAAGTTATTCGATCTTTAAGACTTAGAAATATTGATATTGGAAAAGGATGGGAAAGCCTTATTGAAAGCTATATTAAAAATGATAATCATCCATTAAGAGTCCTTGATGTTTCTGACAATTCTATAGATGAAAAGGCTATTATTTTAATAAGTTCTTTAGTATCAAAATATAACTTAGAATCTCTTTACATTGCTAATGTTCTTAATTCTGAAAAATTGTCAGGAGCTCTTATTCAAGACTGGAAACGTTTAATGGATGAAAAAATACATTTAAAAAAAATAGATATTTCTGGTGCTAAACTGACAACTGCTGGAATCGAATTTATTGCATCTCAATTTGCAATTAACTTCCCTGATCTTGAAAAAATTTATCTTCGAGATATTGCTGTTCCTAAAACTTCTTCTATGTTGCGGTTCCTTGAAATTATGAAAGGATTAAGAGTTTTAGACCTTTCTGGAATGAAACTTTCATTAAAGGTAATTGACAAAACATCTCAAGACCTCCAAGAATACATTCATTGTTGCACTCATTTAGAGAGCGTTATCATGAATAGAGTTATTTTACCAGGAGATGTCTTGAAAAATATAATCAAAGAATTTAGAAGTGAAAAAGTAAATATTCATTTAAGACAGTCTGAATTCACTGTTGACAGTGTTAAAACATTTAGTACAGTTTTTATTGGTTTAGAATCAGTTCAACATTTGGATATTTCAGATTGTGGAATCGCTGAAGAAGGATTGGTTTATTTGTTGGAATCACTATGTCAAAACACAATTATTGAGTCAATAGATTTATCTCAAAATTTATTCAGTCAAGGAAATAAAGACAATGTAGTCAAAGCCTTAGTTAAGTTGATTAACGGAGGTACTGGTCTCAAAAAATTACGAATCGCTGGTGGTTTGAAACAAACACAACAACTAGGAACTTCTATTGTTCAAATTTTCGATGCATTAGCAAATAACCGAACAATTAGGGAATTTGATTGCAGTAATCATATGTTTGGTAATAAAGGAGCTTTTGCTTTGGCTAATTTAATCACAGTTAATGATACATTGCAAGTAATCAACTGGGATGGAAATTCTATTGGTATGAATGGTTTAAAAGCTATTGCTGAAGCCCTTAGAATCAACACTGTTTTGAAGGAATTCAAATTCCCTATTTCTGACTGTGGCAAACTAGAGGATGTAGAGAGTGTTAGAAAAGTACTGAGTAGTATGGTTACTTCTCTCAATGTCATGGAACCTCATCCTAACTAATTTTACTTTTTCTTCAGTCACATACAGATAGGCTCAATTAAAATAGTTTTTAAGAACATGAAACAAAAGTTAATTTAACTAAATAAAGATAAAAAAGAAAACAATAAAAAATAATTAAAATGAATATTGAAATAATTAAAAATAAAAAATAAAAAAATGAAGAATAATCAAATTACCAATTCTTAACATTTTCGATTGATTTGTGTGCAGCTTCAACAACGTTGTCTGAAGTAATACCAAATTTCTCATATAATTTGTTGATTGGAGCTGATGCTCCAAATGAATGCATTCCAACAGCAACACCACAATCTCCAATAAATTTCTCCCAACCCATAGTTGATGAAGCTTCAACTGATACTCTAGCATGAATCTTTCTTGGAAGAACTGATTCTCTATATTCAACAGGTTGTTGATTAAATAATTCCCATGATGGAAGGGAAACAACTCTAACACCAAGTCCTTCTTTATGAAGTTTCTCTGCTGCAGTAATAGCAATATCTACTTCAGTTCCTGAAGCCATAAGAATTACTTGTGGTGTTCCATAATCTCTCAAAACATAACCTCCTTTTCTTAAATTTTCTGATGATGCAAAAATTGTTCTATCAATAATTTTACTATTTTGTCTTGCCAAAATCAAAAGAGTAGGTCCATTATTTCTTTCAATAGCTATTTTCCATGCTACACGTGTTTCATTTGCATCTGATGGTCGAATAACAACACAATTAGGCATTGATCTATATGATAGAAGATGTTCAATTGGTTGATGTGTTGGTCCATCTTCTCCTACTCCAATAGAATCATGAGTAAAAACAAATATTGATGGATAATGGGAAAGTGCTGCTAATCTAATAGTTGGTCTACAATAATCACTAAATACAAAGAATGTAGATCCATATGCAATTAATCCTCCATATATATTCATTCCATTAACAATATTTCCCATAGCATGTTCTCTAATTCCATAATGAATATTTCTTCCTTTAGGATCTTCATGGAATGGTACTCCTGGAAGTACAACTTTAACACTTCCTCCAACATCAGCAGTTCCTCCAATTATTTCTGGTAATTTTTTAGCAATTTCATTAAATGCTTTTCCTGAACTAATTCTTGTAGCTTCACCTTTTTCATCTTCTTTAATTTCTTCTTTAAATAATTCTGAAATACTTGAAATATCTCTTTTAAGTCTTCGTTCAAATTCTTTTGAAAGTTCTGGTTCTTCTTTTTTATATTCTTCATACATTTTTTTCCATTCTTTATGTTTTAAATTTCCTCTTTCTGATGCTGCATGATAAACTGAATAAATATCTTCTTCAATATGAAATTCTTCTGTAACTCCATATGCTTTTTTCATTAATTCTAATTCTGTTC